CTTCCCAACCCAGGGATTGAACCCAGGTCTCCCTCATTGCAGGCAGATTCTTTACCAGCTGAGGCACAAGGGAAGCCCTTGAGTTTCATGAGCCATACAGCAATACATACAGCAAATTCCCATTGGCTATCTATTTTATATACGGTAATGTGGAGACCCTGATGCTGGGAGGGATTGTGGGCAGGAGGAGAAGGGGGTGACAGAGGATGAGATGGCTGGATGGCATCACTGACTCGATGGGCATAAGTTTGAGTAAACTCCAGGAGTTGGTGATGGACAGGGAGGCCTGGCATGCATTGAATCGCAAAGAGTCGGACACGACTGAGTGACTGAACTGAACTGAAGTGAATGTAAGTTTCCATGTTACTCTTTCCATACATCTCACCCTCTCCTCCCCTCTCCCCAAGCCCATAAGTCTATTTTCTATGTGTATTTCTCCATTGCTGCCCTGTAAATGAATTCTTCAGAGCCATTTTTCTAGATTCCATATATGTATGTTAGAATACGACATTTATCTTTCTCTTTCTGACTCACTTCACTCTATATAATAGGTTCTAGGTTCATCCACCTCACCAGAACTGACTCAAATGTGTTCCTTTTATGGCTGAGTAATATTCCATTGTGTATATGTACCACTTCCTTAAAAAAACTAGGCATAAAACCACCATATGACCCAGCAATCCCACTCCTAGGCATATACCCTGAAGAAACCAAAATTGAAAAAGACACATGTATCCCATTGTTCACTACAGCACTATTTACAATAGCTAGAACATGGAAGCGACCTAGATGCCCATCGACAGATGAATGGATAACATAAAGTACTTTTACCTAAACATGCCACTTCAGCAGAAATATTTGGAACACAAAATACACTCAACCCAATATTTACACTGACTATGTTCAAGGTGATATAGTAGGCACTGTAGGGAACAAAGTGCTTAATAAAAATGGATTCAAGGTGAACGTTTCTTTTAAACACTTTACAATCTGCTAGGCAAGATAAGGCACGAACCTAAATAGTTACATACACATTGCAATAGGATCATTGTTATAGAAGATGTACAGAAAAACCTACTAGAATTATCTTGAAGGAGCATTTGCTTTCACTGAAGGAACCAAAGCAGGCTTCATAAAGGAGTTAATATCTGAACAAGCTCCTCAAAGATATGAACTTTGAAATATTTGTTTTTTATACACCATTTGAACCTTATGTATATGCAAGACACTCCAGAAAGTGCTACAGATACAGAAATGAACAAGAGACAGACCTTCCCTTGACTTCAAATTGTTCTCAGTCTATTAAGAAAGATAAAATCCATGATTAGAATCAGGAGAAAAGGAATTATATTGGAGATTTTCTAAAAATACTACAAACTACAAGGAAAATTACAAAGATGTAGGAGAGAAACTAAATCCTCTTCAAAGGGAATGTCTCTGGAAAAGGTGCTGCTTGGGCTGGGCTTATGGTTTCAGGTAGCCAAGATTACATGAGGATGGGCTGGGACGAGAGAAGCATCACACACATCAAGGGTCAGGGATGCAAGGGTGTGATGTGTGTTCTGTGATGATGGTTCAGGAGTGCTGAAGAATAGAAGCACTAGATGTGAGTAGAAAATCACATCAGGGCTAGGTAATAGAAAGGTTAAAGGCCAGACTAGGCATTAAGTACGTATTTTTAGGAATAACCTCATAAATTACACAATACATGGATTCAGTTTCACCAGGCAGACCAGAAATACACTTAATCAATGCCTCTCTAATTGAAAAACTGATGTTGTTGGCATCAGGTAATCCAACCATGGGATAATCTTTAGGCTTTTTACATTAAGCTTCAACTACTGGCTACACTTGGCTTCCCTCGGAGCTCAGTCGGTAAAGAATCTGCCTCAAAAAAAAAAAGAACCTGCCTCAATGCAGGAGACCCGGGATTGATTCCTGGGTCGGGAGGATCCCCTGGAGAAGGGCATGGCAGCCCACTCCAGTATTCCTGCCTGGAGAGTCCCCATGGACAGAGGAGGCTGGCTACAGTCCATGGGGTCGTGAGAGTGGACACGAATGAATGACTAAACAACCGCTGGCTACACGGGCTTCTCTGGGAGCTTAGATAGTAAAGAATCTGCCTGCAATGAAGGAGACCTGGGCTCAATCCCTAGGTCAGGGATATTCCCTGGAAAGGAATGGCAACTGATTCCAGTATTCTTGCTTGGAAAATTCCATTGACAGAGAAGCCTGATGGGCTAGAGTCCATGGGGTCGCAAAGAGCTAAACACAGTTGAGCAATTACCACTAACACACACTGGCTACATTCAACTTCTCATAGTGACTTCTTTGATGCTCTGGTCACTTCTGTTTGGTTTATATTTGTCAGTAACAGTCATCTTATTTTTATTTCATGATAATCTACTCTTCATCACTCCAATGGATTATTATAGGAAATGGAATCCAAGAAAATAGCTATTCACTAAACACTTTAGGACCCAGGTTTCCTCCATCTGTAGTAATCATAATACTCAGCCACCACTAGCAAATTAGGCTGAGCTATGCCTTTTCATTTGGAGCTTTGATAACTGTAATCTACTTTTAACTAACCTATTATTTTGGTCCCCTGAAAAATATGTGTTTTTGTCTCTAGTTTGCCCTCTGTATATTAGGTAACAAAAGCAAAATAAATGACCAGCTCAGCAGTAGATATACAGTAGTTGAGGAAAAGGATAAATTAAAAATCAAAACATTGCTTCATTAAGAATGTTTTTCCTTATTTATATTTGGTATCATCATGTTTACGTGTTCTTCAAAAGTCCACATTAAACTACCCTCCACTGACTATGTACGCTTCTACATCAACTTGCTTCTTTCATCATCTTTCCTGAGGCAAGAAAGAAATGTTTAAGCCTATCACTACTTACTGAGAATATGTTTAATTAGATCATTAGAATTTTTCCAATAACTAGCTAAGAATGAAGTTCAAGAAGAAATAAATATTTTAGTCCAATAGGCTGGATAGTACCTATTCTCACTGGTACCACAGTGAGAATCCTTTATCAACCAAAGGTGCTATGTGGATACTGGATGCTTTAAGTGACATAAATACATCATCAGGAAGTCAAGGAAGGCTGCAAAAACAAAGATGTGGCACCAGAGATTTAAAAAAATGCCTGCCCTGCAGTTTTGCAGAGGTCCCAGGAGTACCAAAAGGCCAACTCACCAATAAACATGTCCTCCCAGCTACTTTGGGAAGCTTGCAAATACCTGGCTTAGAAGACTCTAAACAGGACACTGTGATGCTGACTTATGGTCATTGTCACAGAGAGCTCTTCATCGATTCATTTCTCACTCCCAAAGCCAAGCCAGCCTCTGCATTCCTGACATTCTCTGCTTTGTCAGTCTTCTGATAACTTCCTGACAACAAATAGCCAGTCATTCTATTTCTGTTTTCCCTTCAAAATTCCCCCTTCCACCTCCTTCTTTCCGGCCATCACAGATAATGGGTCTCCTACTATATCAAAGACTCTCCACTTTAAAGGACTATACAAGGCTGTATATTGTCACCCTGTTTATTTAACTTATATATGAAGAATACATCATGTGAAATGCCAGGCTGGATGGAGCACAAGCTGAAATCACAAGCACAAGATTGCCAGGAGAAATATCAAAAACCTCAGATATGCAGACGACACCACCCTTATGGCAGAAAGTGAAGAGGAACTAAAAAGCCTCTTGACGAAAGTGAAAGAGGAGAGTGAAAAAGTTGACTTAAAGCTCAACATTCAGAAAACTAAGATCATGGCATCTGGTCCCATCACTTCAAGGGAAATAGATGGGGAAACAGTGGAAACAGTGTCAGACTTTATTTTTCTGGGCTCCAAAATCACTGCAGATGGTGACTGCAGCCATGAAATTAAAAGACGCTTACTGCTTGGAAGAAAAGCTACAACCAAGCTAGAGAGCATATTAAAAAGCAGAGACATTACTTTGCCAACAAAGGTTCATCTAGTCAAGGCTATGGTTTTTCCAGTGGTCATGTATGGATGTGAGAGTTGGACTATAAAGAAAGCTGAGAGCCAAAGAATTGATGCTTTTGAACTGTGGTGTTGGACAAGATTCTTGAGAGTCCCTTGGACTGCGAGGAGATCCAACCAGTCCATCCTAAAGGAGATCAGTCCTGGATGTTCATTGGAAGGATTGATGCTGAAGCTGAAACTCCAATACTTTGGCTACCTGATGTCAAGAGTTGACTCATTGGAAAAGACCCTGATGCTGGGAGGAATTGGTAGCAGGAGGAGAAGGGGCCGACAGAGGATGAGATGGTTGGATAGCATCACCGACTCGATGGACATGAGTTTGAGTAAACTCTGGGAGTTGGTGATAGACAGGGAGGCCTGGCATGCTGCAGTCCATGGGGTCGCAAAGAGTTGGACGCTACTGAGCGACTGAACTGCCTGCCTTCCTTCCAGATCGCTGAGGCCACCCCTGCTTATGGTGGTTTCCAGGAACACAGTCAGTATTTCCCTTAAGACACAGATGAGGAAACGATTTTCCTTACATGCTCTTATTCCTAGTGTATCCTTTTACTCCCCTTTCACTAATTTAAAAGTCACGTGTCTACATGTCCTATCTAGCTGATATCTACATTTCATGTCACATTTCATCTTTAAAATGTGCTCCTTGAGGCACCCAGCCTGACAAGCACTCTAAGAAATTCCCTCTACTGACCTTATTCAAGCATTTTCAAAAGGAAGAGTTAATATTCACCTAAATCCACCCCCACTAAGAATTTTACATGTTCTCTTCCACCAATTCACAGTATAAGTTATATAATCCTTATGAATTTATTATCTTCATTTACACTGTGATGATTTGTGATCTTGGGATTTTAGTTTTTTAATGTTTTTTTTCCTTGAGAGTTTTGTATGCCTCCATGCCTTCAGTAAACAGAAGGCCTTTGCAGACAAGGAATATGAAACATTTTTTTCTTACTGACAAGAAGAAAAACCTACCTGGCCATGTCTTTGCTGAGGAGCCATCGCCTGAGGCCGTTCAGGATGCAACGGGGCCTGGAGGTCCACCCCTCGAGTTTTGGGGCGCACCACATCGGAGGCCAGACTGGAGGAGATGGCGAGAGACGCGGGCCGAGCAGCCGGGGGGCCTGTCCCCACCGGGGGTCCCTGGTCACCTTTTCTGCCCGGGGTTTCCTCCTCCCCCTCAGAGTCCACAATAAAGACATATTCCGCTTTGAAGAGGTCACTTTGCTGCATTCCTTGAGGTTTCTTCTCTTTAAATTCCCTTCCTTGGGAAGCCTTGTCCTTGACCTCTGAAGGGCAGGTCAGCGTTCCTTGTTCTCTCTCTTGTTGGCTCCCAACATTCAAGGTCAAGTACTCATGGGAATCAAACTGCAATAAATGGAGAAACATAAAAGAGTTGATGTTGCTTTGATAAATGCTTCTTTTCTGTACTCTTAAACACTTAACCTGCTTATATTATTCAAGGACAAAAGGTTTTACAAATATATCTCCAAATCAAGTTGGCATAGGAGAGTTTGGGTTGAAGTTAATGGCTTACTTTTAATAACTCACTTGTATGTCATGGCCCAAACCTAAGTAATTTAGGACTCAGAATTAACGTTAACAAACAAACACTTTCAAATAAATTTTGATATGACTTTTTAGAAAGAGAGGATGAGGGCAATATTTTCTGTAAAGACATTCACAAAACAAATGGGACCTGGTCAGTCATGGGCTTAATTAATAGTCAAGCAAAACTTGTATATCCTGCATAAACTGGGGGTGGGAAATGAAATCCCACTGAAAGGTTCTAAAATAATATGCATTCCTCTCAAACTCTGACAAGAAAAGTAAAATTGGAACAAAATGTGGATATTCAGACCAAATAATCCAAGGCTATGGGAAGAACTCATGAATAGGACATCAAAAAGATAGATACTTTTAGTATAAAGTGTTTTCTACTGTTATTTCATTTTTGATTTATAATCCTAAATATTTTCCCATTCAGTTTTCTATGAACACATAGGAGGTTTACAAAATCAGGAATTAGATAGTTTTCTCAAGGTACCAAAGCATCTTTTTTCTAAAATGGTAGCAGCAATGTATACCAAGACTATGTTTAAAAGACCCAATAGTAATTTCCTCGGTTTTGATAAGCATTGTTGTTGTTGTTGTTGTTGTTAGTCGCTCACTTGTGTTCAACTCTTTGCAACCACATGGACTGTAGCCTGTCAGGCTCCTCTGTCCATGGGATTTCCCAGGCAAGGATACTGGAATGAGTTGCCATTTCCTTTTCCAGGGGATCCTCCTGACCCAAGGATCAAACCCTCATCTCTTGCTTGACAGGTGGATTCCTTACCACTGAGCCACTATTTTTTTTTTTTTTGCAACATTTCTCTAAGTATAACATTATTTCAAAATAGAAAGATAAAGATACTAAATAAGCTAAAATAAACTAAATGTCAACTATGATCAATTTAATGTTTGCTAATATGTATCATGTTATGTGTGAGTGAAGATACAATAATCAAATCATTGATGAACTAGGAGTCAAATTCGTGCCACCAGACCACATTTTTCAGCTGATGATGACATAGTCAACATACTTTTACTCTGATTTGGATTCTTCTGAGAGTGGTCATTTCACATATAAATTTACAACACTATGTCGTAACAAGAGCCCTTGTGTCTCAGATGGTAAAGAATCTGCCTGCAATGCAGGAGACCCGGATTCAATCCCTAGGTCAGGAAGAGCCTCTGGAGAAGGGAAGGGCAACCCACTCCAGTATTCTTGCCTGGAGAATTCCACGGACAGAGGAGCCTGGTAGGCTACAGTCCATGAGTTTGCGAAGGGTTGGACACGACTGAGCGACTAACATATCACATATAGTAACAAAGCCCAAATTAGAAGGAAGCTTAAATTAAAAATTGAAGGATTCAAAGACAGATTGCTTATGATGGAAAGTGAACAGAATAACTAAAGAGCTGGCAAAACTGAACTCATTTTTGAAAATGTTATTAATGATCTACAATAACTCCCTGCTCCCAAAGTCCAACATTCTCTATTTGTTTATTCTGATGTATTTTTTACAGCATATCTTACCACCCAAGGTTTTATTATATGCTTTTTACTATTTTCATTGTCTGTCTTTCCAATAAAAAATAACTTATGAGTTGACTTTATTCATCCAGAATCCACAGCACCAAGGACACAGCATGTGTTCAAGTCAATAGTTTTTAAATATACAAAGAAAGAAGGATTATTTACCCTGCTGTATTATACTACTGAACTGTTTTTAAAAAAGGAAGAAGAATGTTTACTCTTTTAAAGATGTGGTTGTGCAGGTACCATTGCCATCTGCAGATGAATATCATTAGCTTAGGAAGCTTTGGAGATCTGCAACCAAGATTGATTCATATGTCTATAGTCTCAGAGCATATTTCATATGTCATATGTCATATGTCTCAGGAGCTCAGAGCACCTAATCACAAAGGATCCCTTGAATATATTGTACGTGCTTGAGTACTGATAGAGAGAAAATTCCCAGAAGTGTCTTATGTAGCTCTCAGAATTTCTCTAAAATAATTCATTCTCACAATAGTTTTTGAAATAAGTCCCAGGTTCATGGATATATCACTGCTTGCTAGATAAGATGTTTTCATATAGACAAGGAGAATCAGATAATTTTATTTCCTACAAAGTGGGCCCCAAAATACCACAAAATTCACCCAGTAACATTTTTTTTATAAGAGAACAGTATTAAGATACATGTTAAAGAGAAAAAGTTTTTACCCAAAAAGTCGTTATTTTCACACAAGCAATTTTTAGTTTTTTGTTTAACATCACTTTCAGCCTTGGTCTCACTTTAGATAAGTATAATTGGGTATAAATACAATTTTATAATCTATTGTATCATTTAACATGATAAGATTAACATGTTCCATAAAATTAAATAATCATTATAATTATAACTTTGTCAAGGTGATGCCATCAGATGCTTTGATTTTCTCTGATTGTTAGATATTAGGCTCTTTTCATTTTTCCCTAATTATTTTCCTACATAATATTTTTTTCTTCTGTACTATTTCTCTGGTATACATTTCCAGTTAGATAATTGAAAGGTTATGAAAAGTTATATTATGTGGATAAGGGTTTTCCAACCAAAATTGTACAAATTCACAAAACTAGCAGCAAAGTGTGAGCACGCCAATAGGTCTACAAGTGCCCTAAACATCGAATATTATATTTTTAACATTGTTAATCTATTACACATAAAATAGCACCTCACTCTTTATCTAATAGCCTTTAAAGATAAATTCAAACTTTGCAAAAAATTTTGTTTTTTTTATTTTATTTTAAGATACATCTGGGAGGGGAGGTGCCAAGAGGCATAATGTATTATGTGAACAGCAAACAACAGCATGTCAAATCAAAAGGGTTAAGAATAACTTGTTGTAGAAAACCTGAGATTTGATAACACTGAAGTACCTATTACATAATTATATTTTTAGCCACTTTTAGATTTCCCAGTTATCTCGCTTTAAGTAGAGAAAATAAACATTCATACAGCTTTTCATGTCATTATTATGGATACTTTAATGTTAATTACTTGACATAAAAATAATAAAAATAATCCTACCCTATTTACAGTTTCTGGAGTCTTATCACTTGGTTCCTCAGGAATTTTAACAATGTATTTAGAGGTGTCACCCAACTGGGAGTGGGTTGGCAGTCTTCTGACAGTGGGGACAAATGTGAAGATCAGAGGTTTAGCTTCAGAATCACCAGAAGAGACCTATGAGACACGTAATAAATTAGACTTTCAGTCTTATCAAAGGTTTATCTTGACTTTACTTTCTACATATTATGGTATTTATCTTGCTTATTTTGATAAACTGCCTACCGTCCTGTGATCATGTGATGGTTGCCAAAGAGAACAGCTATTAAAGTATTCATCATGTATCTGATCAATTTTTTTTATGAAAATACTTATCAGTGAAAGAAAAACAACCCCAGGAAGATCTTACTGTAGGACACGGCAACAGAAGAGTAGGTTGACAAGTTGAGCTTCTGGAATGCTACAAGTTAACAAGGATGAATGTCAGTTTCAACACAGACCAGATGCTGTGTTTGTGATGACCTCACAGAGGTCACGGACTTTCATCCGTTTAACCCTGAGTTAGCAGGTTCAAGTTGACTCATAATCACCAACCGTGTGTGAAACTTTGGACATATATCATTAATGAGAAGGCTAAAATGTGAATGGAAAATTGAAAATGTACTTTCCTGGCTATCAGCATACCAATGCCTCTTCTCAAGGATATACCTTCTCTTTCATTCATTCTTTATTCATTCAAAAATTATTTTGTTAAGTATTTGCCATGTGGCAGGCACTCAGGAGCTAGAGATACAACAGCAAACAGGGAACAGTCAATAGGTCTCTCACAAGGAGGAGAATGGTATGCACAGAATAGGAAGGGAAAAGCAATGATGGTTGGGTGCCTATCCAGTCTGGGAAGCTCCATAAAAGGCAGCACCTGGAACTGATGTCCTGGTGGAGAGGAAGAGAAGGCTCTCCCATGCTGAGGAAACCAGGTTAAGTGAAGGCATGGAAAACAACACTGTGTGTGGATCAAGCCTGGGTTTTGCCCTAATTACAATGAGAACCAAGTGATTGGGAATGACATCATCACGTCACAATGTCAGATGGGTGATGCTGGTCTTAAAACCCCAAGCCTGGTGATCAAGAAAGAAATCCAAAAGTGACAGATGGAGGAGTGAATGGAAAGATGGCAAGAGAAGATGGTACTGGAGATTTCTCTTTCAAGCAGTGGAATGCAGGAAGAGAGATGGAGAGAAGTTAGAGAGGAAGGTCTGGTCAAAGGGATGCCTCTGTTGATCTATAATGGGACAGACATGAAGACGTCTGTAGACTTGGGGGGAAAAAACAAAGCAACAGAGACTTCCCTGATGGCCCAAAGGTTACGACTCTGCCCTTCCATTGCAGGGGACACAGGTTCAATTTCTGGAAGATCAATTAAGATCCCACATGCCGCACAGTGAGGTCAAAATATAAATAAATAAAAGTAAACAACAGAAAGAATATAGCCTCCTCTGTGAACAGAGAAAATGAAGATACAGAAAAGATCCCACTGTGGGGCACTGGGAGAAGTTGGAAAATGACAGGACTCATTTTGCATCTAAACCACATTAGTGATGCAATCAGCCCCATCTAATCAAGGTGGACACTACCATGTTGCCCCCTCCCTGCTCGTCATAAGAAATGCAATGGTCCCAGCAGGCCCTCCCATGCTCCTCTCCCTTCTAGCCATGCCACCACTGTATGCCTTATCTCAACATGCCCTTTAACCCCGATCACGTCAGCCCCTCAAGAAACCCAGCCATCCCTGCATCCCTGTGTGCCAGGTACACCCCTACTTTTGCTCCTTTCTTATAACTGAGCACAACCCTCTGAGGCCTTCCCAGAATAGCACCCCCCCCACTCATGCCCTCCACCTGCCTTTTGTCTGTAGAAAAACTAGTCAAAGAATAAATTTAATCAGAGAAACTAGAAAATGCAGACAAAAGGAAAACAGTCAAGCAAGACAAAATAATAATAGCTTAGCCAATAAACAAAGTCAAAGACATTTAGTTCTTCCTCAAGGACTATAGATAATATTCTGAGCCATGTTCTTTGAGCTGTTTTGCAGATACTGAAACCCTCACCAGGTGGTAGAAGTTAATTGTATGCTGCCTACAAGCACAAAGACTGCAGACCGGTTGGAACCAGAAGGTTAATGATGTGGATTCCAAATCACCTCACCACCAACCATGGTGAGCTGGCCACGCCCTGCTCCTGAACACTGGCTCCTCGTGACCCCCTCCAGGGAGGGACGCACAACTTTGCGGGCACTGGCCCGCTGTGGCCCACTTTGCCTGACGAAGCATAAAAGCTATTCTTTCTCCTTCATCCAAAGCTCTGTCTCTACATTTCTGTTTGGCACCAGTGTACAGAGGCAGAGATTCAGAAACACACACTTACCCAGCTCTTGGCAACTTCTCATCCTCCACTGTCTGGAATTCAGGCAGTCGTCACACAGCCCTGCACATCCTGAACCTCCTCTTCGCCTGTTGCAGCTCTAAGTAAACCACAGTCCCCTCTGAAGACTCTGCTTCCCAGGAAGTCCTCAATGACTGTTTGCTCTCACCGCTAGGTCTAGAAGTAGGGTAAGTGTCCTCCTTGTGATCTTACAGCTTCCAGACCATTCTATTCTTCCCTCACCCCTACAAACCTCCAAGTTCCAAGCTCCTGCCACGCACCAGTTAACGCCCTTCACTACCTACCTCTGCTTGTCGCAGTCATCTGCCCACAACCAAGTCAACCCCTTCTTTCTTTGAAGATTTAGTTCCAGTGTTAATTCCACTCCTAACACTATATCTCACGGGTAATTTTTCTAGTAACATATGTCACTGACCTCTGCTCTTCTTGGCCTTCACATCCCTGGCCACAACCAATAGCCACAACCCTTCCATAATTTTGGAGTGTTTTCCTTCTCTGGCCAGCACGTCTTTTCTTTCCGCATCATTCCTCTGGTTCTCTAACTCCAGCATTTCTGGGAACCCATCAAAACGGAAGTCTACCGATCCTTCCAGCAGTAAGTTTTCCCAGACTCCCTTTTTTAGCCAGTTTCAATGTCTGATACAACTACTCCTGTGGACACCCCTCCAATGTCTTGCCTTCTCTCATGTCATCATCCCCTTTGGGTAAATCATGGTGCTCACTGAATCTAACCCCTACCAACTCTACTCTGGCACCACAGAGGTAAATGCAACTGGGGAAAAAGTTACAGGACCATGCTTGCTGGTTTCACTTAAGATTCATGGCTCTGAGCCTCAAGTAGGTCCTTCCACACTACTCTATAATCATACTACATTCTTTATTAGACTATGATCGCTTTACAATGTTCTGTCCATTTCTACTGCACAACGAAGTGAATCAGCTACATGCATACATATATCCCCTCCCTCTCTGACCGCCTTCACACTCCACCCCCGATCCCACTCCTCTAAGTCATCACAGAGCACCCAGCTGAGCTTCCTAATGCTCTATAGCACGTTCCCACTAGATATCTATGTTACCCAGCGTAGTGTATAGATGTGGGCTTCCCAGGTGTCTCAGTGGTAAAAAATCCACCTGCCAATGCAGGAGATGCAGGAGACATGGGTTTGATTCCTGGGTCAGGAAGATCTGCTGGAGTAGGAAATGGCAACCCACTCCAGTATTCTTGCCTGGAAAATCCCTTGGACAGAGGAGCCTGGCGGGCTACAATCCATGGGGTCACAAAGAGTCGGACAAGACTGAGCACACATGTACACAGTGTATATATGATGATCCTAATCTCCCAATTCATCTCACCCAACTCTTCCCCCCCATATGCATATGTCCGTTCTCTACACCTGCGTCTCTATTCCTGCCCTGCTTTTCTCTATCTGTAAGAGAAAAGCAGATTAACACGTATATGCAGAATCATACTATACACTGATAGATTCAGAGCCCATTTACTCTCCCACACACATAGAAAGCTCACATCTTCTCTGCTTTCTGCAAACACCTGCATCCTCGTCCCCATTCTCACTCTGAGCTAAAAACTCTGTTTCCCATTTCACTGAGATAATTGAAGCAAACAGAAGAGAACCTCCAAACCCCTCATTACAGCTTCTAGTCACCCACCTACATCTTTGTCCTTTTATGGGACCATCAGTCCTTCTACTCCACTCCTACTAAAACCAAACCTCACTTGATTACATTGCCTTCTATAATACTTTCATTTACTTAACAAGATTTATTAAATGCCCACCAGGTGCTAGGCTTTATTTTAGGGCTTGGCAATATGAACAAAACCTCTACCCATTCCAGTGGGAGGGAGACAGGAAGCAAAATAAATAAGAAAAAGGTAGAAATTTTCAATTGAGCTAAGTGCTATGAAGACTAGTATAATAATCCACAGGAGAAAAAATGATAGGTAAAACTTGGGTTGGCTATAATTTAAAGGAAAAACTTAGAATTTGCTGAAAAATTAGATGTGAGATGCAAGAGGCGGACAACAGTCAAGACATACAAAGTTTTTGACCTGAATAACTGGAAGATATGCGATATTCTTCACAGAAGTGAGGAAAATAAGAGGTGGAACTGGTTTAAGAATAAAGATCAAATTTGATATGACAAAAAAATACATCCAAGAGGAAATGTGGGGATAGGAGAAAAGTTAAGAGGAGAGTCTGTGCTGGAGATAAAATGATTAGGGTTGTTAACCTATACATGGCTTTGAAAACCATGAGACCAAATGAGATCACCAGGGATTCAGGCACAAACAGGAAAAAAGAGGTACAAGGCTGAAGCATCCAGGCTCTGCCATTAAGTGGTGCAGTAGCTGAAGAAGAACTCGTAAAGGTGACATTGGATTTTAAGAGAAAAATAAGCCTTGAACATCATTGACAGCAATAAGAAAGAGACCAGACCATAAATAATAAAAGGACCGACAGGCTATTGTGAGAGTCCAGCCCAAATGTAAATCCAAGAATTTGTCGTGAAAGCAATTTGCTTGGCTGTTGGATAATCTCTCCAGGGATGCTCAACTGCCCATCACAGGAACAGAGAAAGTGAACTGCAGCATTTATAGAACTGATGTTCAGAGGTGGTTTTGGCAGAAGAATGCTGCGTGTGTCAGGAAATTGAGGGTACCGATGAAAGAAAAGCAAAAGGTCAGCCAGAGAGTACACAGGGGAGAAAGGGGA